AAGATCATGCTGGGCATCAGTGGTAGTGGCTTGCTTGCTAATGGTTTAGCAAAATTATTCGCTGGTTTTTTCGTCGTGAAATTTCTTTTTGTTCGTTGTCTTACTATAGGAGGGAATTCATTAGATTTTAGCTGCACCTATAGTTGGTGTCGAGTTTCGATTCCATTGTTGCACACCAATTTGTCCCGATTTTGCCGTAAACGCGCTAATACTGCAACCATTACAAATGTGCGGGTGGAGATTTTTGTTTCTTTTTCATCTTTAGTATGAGTTGTATCTTCAAATGGTTATCTGAATGGATGAGCCGTCATATCTTTTTTCAGGCTGAATTTTTGTGAGAAAAGTATGATATTTGGATATTATCATCCTTAAAAAGCTTATTTACTCGAAAAGTTTCCTCCCAGAGGTTTCTGTGTACCTGGGAAAAGAATATAATAACACATTTAACACCACCGGGCTTCTTCTTCGGTCTAAGGATACCATTAGTGTCAAAAGATGAAAAGAAAAAAAAAGGAAAACTCTACATGCATGTTTTTTGACTAGTCGTCGCTTGGCGCGCTCTACCGCGAAATCTGGTTCTGTCGTGCAGTCGCACCAACGTGTAATAACTTGAGGCCGAGTACAGTGTCATGCAGGCGACGCGTTAAAACTAGAAGAAGCAAACGTTTGAGTTACAGAACTTTAGATGAGTGTCAACTGCTATCACCATCCCCATCAAATGTCTGGATGTTACGTGCTGTTTAGCTGCTATATTTTTGAATAGTGATTAAAATGGGGATATCGATTGAAAGAACACATGATTTGAAAGTTAGGAAAGTGTCAGACAGTTTACAAATACTCTAACGGCTGTTCAGAGCTGTGGTAATTGTTCTCTTCAAGCGCTTTATCATGGACAACCAAGAACAGCTATTTATCTTTATTTAGTCACGGGTATCAGCTTGCGATAAGTGCTGGCCGGCTGTTGAAGAGTGGGAGGCCAATCGTAGTCCAGCCCGAACTCCCCAAGATGGACCAGATCTTCTCTCTCAACTCGAAGAGCGAGAAGCGCATGTAAAGTGAGCTCTTTTTACTTTCCCTTTTCATTATTATCTCCAAGCTAAAGTATAGACATGGATGATCTATAATCCAGGATATCCCCTTTGCCCAAATTTTTTTTGTTTGATAAGATTTTTTCAGCCACTTTTTCCAGGGGACAGATATGCAATTTATCAGTTTAGGGCGTTGGAGATTGATCTGGCTCAGACAAAACTGGCTCTTGTTGAAGCAGAATGCAAAAATCAAGACCTTACTCATCAGATGATGACGCAGAGTGAAAGCGATGGAAAACGGTTGGTTTGAACGTCCTTAAATTTCTATCTTTTTTTTGTTTTCTTTTATGCTATGCTTGAAGGTTGAAAAAAGGTTTTTCTTTAGTTCAAAGCTTGAACTTGTGAGTGTTGTTTGAGATAATCCTTTGTTCTTTTTTAATTCTTTGTTTATAAAATGGAATGTGTTTTGGCGTTCATAGTTTTT